GCTGCCCGCCCCCCCCCCCGGTTCGTTCTGCAGCACGGATTTCATTTACCCTCTGTAAGGAACATTTCTCCTTTTAAACATTACTTTAAAAGGAAACAGGCGTCCCTCTTGAGCACAACCGGTCCTGGCTGCAGATTCTCCAAACGAGAGGCCAGGTCAGGCAGAAGTAGAATTCTTGCCACTTAAGGATGCAAACTGGGACACCCGTCGGCAGGAATTGTGGACCAGGCCAGGAAATGTTAGTGGAGGGTTCTGTCCTGGCCCTCCCTCCATCTCTGATCCCTGTTAGCCCTCCTCCAACCCACCGGATCCAGCATGTACTCCTGAGACTGGTCTCTGGAGGCAGAACTGATGAAACCGAGGCTGTCCTACTTTGGGCACATCACAAGAAGGCCAGATCCCCTGGAAAAGACCATCGTGCTCAGAAAGGAGGAAGGCCTCATCCAAGATGGATGGACTCCCTAAAAGAAGCCATAGACTTGAATTTCCAAGATCTGACCAAGGCTGTTGAGGAAAAGACATTTTGAAGATTGCTCCTCCGTAGGGTCACCGTTCATCGGAGGCACATAACAACAGCAGCCTAAAGATTCTTAACCTGAAGGATTTATTGCATGATTGGAACTCGTGGGTTTGGAAAGAGAAGCATCAAAGGATCCAGGACAGGGCAGGGTAGATGTTACATCTTGAGTAAAGCATCCTTGTTGACAAGGATGTAACAAAGCCACATTTTTTAAAAGAATGTAACAGACAGGGATAGTGTTACCCTGTTGGTGTAATGAATAACACTTTCTAGCTACTTAAAAAAACACACAACGTTTTAAGGCCGCTTGAAGAATGATTTATGCTCCACACTCCAAAATGTAATGACAAAGCACAACAGATCCCATGACCAGCACAGAGAATCATAAAGCTGGATGGGCCCTATCAGACCATGAAGTCCAACCCCTTACTCAGTGAAAGGATCAAAATCAAAGTATCTGTAGAAAAGTTACTTTACCCGGATGGCCCATAACCGCACTGGGGGAGGATTCTGGGCACTGTTGTCCAAAAAACAAAAAACAAATTAATAACTTTTCCAAGCTGTGCCTGGGATTTAGGTGCACCAAGACGGTATAAGGAAGGAAGATAGTTAAAGAAACCTTAATTGATGAACTGCACTATTCACTGTAGCCTAGAACTCCTAATATACTGTTTTGAAGGTTCTCTCTTTCCCTCGTGCCACGGCCTGGTTGGAGGGCGGTGGCTGGTGCTGGACAGGGCTCCTGTGCCGGGGTAAATATCCCCTGGAAAGAGCCCCTTATCACTCCCGACTGGTGGCCAGTTGGGGTTGCTGGGCAGGACGCCCTGGAGGGCCATCAGCTCCTTCGCTTTGGGTCCCAAGTGGACCAGAGCAAGCAGAAGGGCCGAGGGAGGAGGCTGAAGGACGGGGAGGCCGGTCAGGCCACAGACCCACTGGCTGGGCCAGCTGCCACTGCCCAAGGGACATATCCTGAGTCCCCACCAACAGCCCTACTGGGAGTCTGTTGGCTCCAGGCTGGAAAGGGCTAAAGGTAGAAGAGGTGGCCAGGGTTGCACCTGGGCCTGGTTCTAGGTGAGGGCAAGGGCCAAAAAAGCAGCCGAGGCCAGGGAGGTGGGCAGCAGTCCAACGATGAGACTCCCATCTCCTTTGCAGCGAGTCATGGAAGAGTTTGGGGAAGCGGTTACCCGCTGACGCTGTGCCATCGTTAACTGCTGTGCTGGCAAGCGAAGCCCCCCCCCCC